GAATGAAAATTACCCAGGGCGCCTGGGTGGCTCAGTGGGTTAAGCCTCTGCCTTCAGCTCAGGTCATGGTCTCAGGATCCTGGGATCGAGCCCCACATCGGGCTCTCTGCTCAGCGGGGAACCTGCTTCCTCCTCTCTCTCTGCCTGCCTCTCTGCCTACTTGTGATCTCTCTCTCTGTCAATTAAGTAAATTTTAAAAACTTAAAAAAAAAATTACCCATTAATTAAATGATGGCTCCCCCTTCTTCCAACAGATTGCTTGCTCATTATATTTTTGGTGTGTCTTGACAAAACATTTTCTGGTATAAGGTGGATTTTATCATCATTACAACTCCTGAGAAATTCTGTCATGTATTAGAGATAGCAATGTTCCGTTTTAATTATCTTTTAACAGACTTTAATCAGTATTTAAAACCAATGTTCGGGACACCTGGGTGGCTCAATGGGTTGGGCCCCTGCCTTCGGCTCAGGTCAGACCCTGCTTCCCCTGCTCCCCCACCGCCTGCCTTTCTGCCTACTTGTGATCTCTCTCTCTCTCTCTCTGTCAAATAAATAAATAAAATTAAAACAACAACAACAACAACAACAACGTTGTGGTTTTGTGAACCCATTCTTTTTTTTTTTTTTTTTAAGATTTTATTTGTTTATTTGACAGAGAGAGATCACAAGCAGACAGAGAGGCAGGCAGAGAGAGAGGAGGAAGCAGGTTCCCCGCTGAGCAGAGAGCCCGATGCGGGGCTCGATCCCAGGACCCTGAGATCATGACCTGAGCTGAAGGCAGCGGCTTAACCCACTGAGCCACCCAGGCGCCCCTGTGAACCCATTCTTATACTAATGGTTTTCAGGGGAAAGGTTTAAAAATTAGTTTTTTTAAAATTGGGGAAGGGGTGCCTGGTTGGCTCAGTCAGTTAAACATCTGCTTTCCACTCAGGTCATGATCTTGGGGTCCTGTGACTGAGCTCCTCATTGGGCTCCCAGGCTTAGTGGGAGAGTCTGCTTCTTCCTGTTTCCCCTCCCCACGCTTGCCCCATCCCTGCAAATAAAATATTTAAAAAATAATAAAATAAAAATTGGGAAAGATATTAATAGCACTTATTGTTTTGCCTCTACTGCTTTTGTAAAGAGGGGGGCTGTTAACATTATCCATGTGCCCAGTAGTATATGGCAGTTCAGTATTTGATATAAAGTAGAGGCGGAACTTAGTAGCTGTATATATAATGTAGCAATAAATGATAATTTTGCATTTAGTTTGAAATTAATACTTATGTAGTATGTTATTTGGGCATATTCATGGCTTTAAGAAGTTTCTGCAGGAATTTAACAAAAGATGTTTGTTTTGGAATTTTTGAAACTTCATCATGACTATTTTATAAATTTAATACCTGCTGATTACACTTGTGAAATCTCATTCTACAGAATGCATTGCATATGGAAGTGAGTTTTAAATGTTTTTTGAGAGAATTTAAGAGTCTTTTAAATATTTCTAAGTTTTTAGGCTTAGAATGTGGCATCAAACAGTAACTCTGAAGATAGACAACCCTTTTCCCCTTAATGCATTAATTTTTTTAAATGAAAGTATTGTATGCACATTATTTTAACAGTATCATGAAAAGCAACACATTGCTAATCTTTCTGTCCTGAGGAAAATATTCTGTTTTGGTTCTTCATAACTCTTGAATAATGTATAAATTGCAACTTTAAAAATAAACTTTTCTGAAATAGGTTTTAACTTCAATAAAGTAGACAAATTATAAATGTTTAGGCTCAATGAATTTTTTTTAAAGATTTTATTTATTTATTTGACAGAGATTACAAGTAGGCAGGGAGGCAGGCAGAGAGAGAGGAGGAAGCAGGCTCCCCGCTGAGCAGAGAGCCCGATGCGGGGCTCCATCCCAGGACCCTGGGATCATGACCTGAGCCGAAGGCAGAGGCTTTAACCCACTGAGCCACCCAGGCGCCCCTAGGCTTAATGAATTTTCATAAAGTGAACGTCTATGTGACTCCATCTGGCTCAAGAAATAGAATATTGCCAAGTACCCCAGAAGACCCTACCCTCAGTATTAACCCCTCTGTTGATATCCAGCACAACTGATTAGCCTTGCCAGATTTTTTTTTTTTTTTTGAAGATTTTATTTATTTATTTGAGAAAGAGAGGCAGAGACAGAACTATCTGGGGAGCACCAGTAGAGAGGAGAGGGTGAAGCCGGCTCCCAGCTGAGCAGGGAGCCCATGCTAGGCTCTATCCCAGGACTCTGGGATCATGAACCGGGCTGAAGGCAGCGGCTTAACCCACTGAGCCACCCCCAGGTGCCCCTAGCCTTGCCTGATTCTGAACTTTACATGTAAGTGGTTTCCTACAGTGTGGATTCCTCGGCACCTTCCTCACGGTGTTTGGTCTGTGAGACTTAAATTGATTGGTATCACTGCATCTAGCAGTAGTTAGTTCTTGTTGCTGGATGGTATGAGCATAGTACAATGTATCCCTTCTCTTGATACAAATTTGGGTTAATTCCATTTGGGGACAATTACAGATAGCCCTGCTTTAAACATTCTTGGCCTTTGGCTGCACATATGTGCATACTTGGGTAAAATCCTAAGAGCAGGGTTTGGGTTGGAATGTATCCGTATTGTCAGAGAGTTTCTCAAAGTGGCTATACCAGTTTGTTCCTCCAGAAGTATAGGACCTGGTTCATCAACATTAGACTATAAAAGATAAAGACTCATTCCCACAATCTCTGTCTCCTCTGCTACTTTGATACTTTAAATCAGTTTTAGTTTTTCAGTTGGAAGTACTCTTGTAACTTGAAATAATGAATCTCTGCTCTCCTATAAACTTTGGAAAGTAACTTTGTCCACTTGTGGTAAAAGAAAGATACTAGACCCCCACCCCCCCCCCTGCCACCAATTGTATTATTCAGAAAGGGAAGAGGCCGTCTTTCATACAGAGAGGGAATGTATAGAATGCGTAAAATTCAAATTTGTGCCACATCATGTTAAGGGGAAGAAGCCCATAAACAAATGGGGTTAACATTATGATAGGAGAGAGAGTAAGGTCAATTTTACTGATTTGAGAATAAAATACTAGAATAATGCTTTTACTCCCATGGCCACTATCCACATTTGTTTGGGCAGGGGTAGTTGCTTAAACCATTATTCTCCCAAGTTTCTGTGGCTTAACCTGAGAGAACTTTATTTTTGTGCTCATCTAATAGTCCAGTGTGGAGTTCTTTGTAGGAAGGGCAGCCTGCCTTTGTATGTACATGGGATTTAGGGGCCTAGACTGTTAATTCTTTTATCCTGTAGCTGTGCCGTCTCTCAGAGTCTGGGAGATCTCTGCATTCAGCCAGAGTGGGGAAGAAATGGTGGGGAAAGAATGTATGCTTCTAAGAATGGAAGTCTTGTTGAAGAAGGGACAGTCATTATTTCATCTTCTATTCCATTGGTGGGAACTTTGCATGGGAGTTCCACTTAGATACAAGGGGGCTGGGAAATGGAGTCCCGGGCTGAGGATTTGTCTAGCAGCACCAGCTGGAGGGTATTGGAGGAGCGAGGGTTTTTGCTGAACAGCTAGTGAGCCACCTCTGCTCTACCGTCTGATCAGGGATAAGAACAGAATAAATAATGTTCCCTAACAGGATAATTTCATTTCTAAGATACTATTTTAATGGTGAATTTTTATAGGGAAAAAAGTTTATTTTTGAAAGGAAGTGTGAGTACTTTTTTTAAGATTTTATTTATTTATTTGACAGAGAGAGATCACAAGGAGGAAGAGAGGCCGGCAGAGAGGGAGGGGGAAGCAGGCTCCCTGCTGAGCAGAGCCCAGTGTAGGGCTCAATCCCAGGACTCTGAGACCACTGCCTGAGCCGAAGGCAGAGGCTTAACCCACTGAGCTACCCAGGAGCCCCAGTATTTTTTTTTTTTTAAGATTTTATTTTACTTATTTGAGAGAGAGTGAGCACAAGCTGGGGGAGAGGCAGAGGGAGAGAGAGAAGCAGGCTCCCTGCTGAGCAGGGAACCCGAAGCAGTGCTTGATCCCAGGACCCTGGGACCATGACCTGAGCCAAAGACAGTTAGTTAACTGAGTGAGCCACTTAGGTGCCCACCCTTTTTTTTTTTTTTTTTTTAAATTTGAAACAGAGAGGGAGCACGACTGGTGGGGAGGGGCAGAGGGAAAGGGAGAAGCAGTCTGCAAGGAGCCAGACCTAGGGCTCAATGCTAGGACCCTGGAATGAGGACCCAAGCCAAAGGCAGATAATTTGAGTGACTGAGCCACCCAGGTGCCCTTAGGGAAAGAAGTTTAGATTTATAACTAAATGGCATTTCTTGGGCGCCTGGGATGGACTGCCATCCCCTCAGGTCATGATCCTAGAGTCCTGGGATCGAGTTCCGCATCAGCTCTCTGCTTGGCAGGGAGTCTGCTTCTCCCTCTGACCTCTCTACTCTCATGCTCTCTCTCTCTCTGTCTGTCTCTCATGCTCATGCGCGCTCTCTCTCTCAAATAAATAAATAAATAAATAAATAAATAAATAAATAAATAAATAAATAAAATCTTTAAAGAAAAATAAATGGAAGGGGCTCCTGGGTGGCTCAGTGGGTTAAAGCCTCTGCCTTAGGCTCCGGTCATGGTCCCAGGGTCCTGGGATTGAGCCCTGCATGGGGCTATCTGCTCAGCAGGGAACCTGCTTCCTCCTCCCTCTTTCTCTCTGCCTGCCTCTCTGCCTACTTGTGATCTCTGTCTGTCAAATAAATAAATTAAAAAAAAATAAATGGCATTTCTCACTTCCTTTGGGACCACTTAGTTGTGTGATTTGTTTTAATTTTCTTATACTTTACAGTTATGTCGCCACTCTGGAACTTAGAAATTACTGTATTTACATCAATTTTACAAATCACTAAAAGAGGGAAAAAAAACGGTCAATCTGTGGTGTATTATTGGATGTAAACATTAATTACATTTGCTTTAACCCCTCTTTCCATATTTTTTCTTTTCCTCTCTCTAGTTTGTGATTGGCACAATGGAAGAAGCTGGAATGTGTGGGTTAGGGGTGAAGGCAGATATGATACACAACTCTCAATCAAATGATATTCTTCAACATCAAGACTCAAATTGTGGTGGCACAAGTAACAAGCATTCATTGGAAGAGGATGAAGGCAGTGATTTTATTACAAAGAACAGGAGTTTGATGAGCCCAGCATACTGCACGCAAGAGTCCAGAGAGGAAATTCCTGGGCGAGAAGCTCGAATAGATCCTCCTGATGGTCAGCAGGATTCAGAATGCAGCAGGAGCAAAGAGAAGACTTTAGGTAAGAATCTGTGCTCAGTGGTTGGACATTTCTGTGTGCTGCTCTTTTTACTTCTGTTCTCCCCAGCGCAGGTGGTTATGAACGTGGCCAGCATTGAGGCGGATGTTTAGCTAATACATCTCTTGTCCTCAGTGGGGTCAGTGTGTACATTTACTGCATTTTTTGCAGGAGACAAAGATAGCAAAGGAGGAAGTTGTTTTCTGTAAGTAATCAGGAATAAGCTTTCTTCACAGAATTTGGAGCCAGCTTGACAAAGTAGTATTTGACTTGCCTTGTTTGCATCTTTAATGTAGTCTGACTGAAATTTACTGTGAAGACTGTGCATTTATTGGCTTGTTTTATTTAAAATCTAGTCACAATGCTTTAGAGACAACATAATGTTATCTGTCGTTCAGAAGTGGGTTAAGACTGACTTTCAACGGTACGTTTTCTTTTTCCTTCTGTGTTTGAGATTTAGGACTAAAAAGGTAATATGTTAAATTTTGTTATGAAATCTGAAATTCCCTTTTATTTTAGCCTTACTCATTGACTCTAAATTTTTTTTAAATTTAATTATTTGACAGAGAGAATGAGCACAAGCAGGGGGAGAGGGAGAAGCACGCTCCCCACTGAACAAGGAGCCCGATGCAGGACTCAATCCCAAGACCCTGGGATGATCTGAGCAAAGGCACATGGTTAACTGACTGAGTCACCCAGGTGCTGTGCTCCTAAATTTTTTATACTTAGTATACCTAAGATTAACAGTATTTGATTTGTATGGTTTTCTGTACAGAATTATCCTTATTAAATATTTATTTAATATTAATATTATTAAATATATTTTTATTAAATATATTTTTCACTAACTTGGAAATATTAAATATATTAAATATATTTTTCACTAGGAAAACCTAAAAATTCTTATACAAATACAAGAAATAATTTTAATTCCGAGGACACCTGGGTGGCTCAGTCGGTTAAGGATCTGGCTTTAGCTCAGGTCATGATCCCGGGGTCCTGGGGTTGAGTCCCACATGGTGCTCCCTGCTCAGCGGGGAGCCTGCTTCTCTCTCTGCCTGCCACTACCCCTGCTTGTGCTCTCTCACTCTCTCTCTCTCTCTCTCTCTCTGACAAATAAATAAATCTTAAAAAAAATAATTTTAATTCCTTACAAACAAATGTCTTCAAAATCAGCAGCCCCAATTATATGTGTAAAAGCAGATATGGAGTCTTAAGAAGTTACAGGGAATGGGGCACCTGGCTGGCTCAGTTGGAGGAACATGCAACTCTTGATCTCAGGGTTGTGTTTGAGCCCCTCGTTGGGTGTAGAGATGACTTAATACTTAAAAACAAAAGTTTCACATAATGTTACCATGTGACTCAGCAGCTCTACTTCTAGGTATATAACCAGGAGGGTTGAAAGCACATGACCATGCAAAAATGTGTACATGAGTATTCATGGCAGCCTTTTTCATAATAGCCAAAAAGTTGGAACAACACAGTTGTTCATCAGCTGATGAATGGATAAACAAAATGTGGTATTATATCTGCTATAAAAAGGAATGAAGTAGTGATAACATTGTACGTGGGTGAACCTTGAAAACATGCCAAATGAAAGGAACCAGACAAAAAAGTCCACATATTAAGATTCTATTTAAGATGAAATGTTCAGAATTGGCAGGTCCATGGAGACAGAAAGTGGCATAGTATTGCCAGGGCCCCGGTGGGGGAGCAGGAGGGAGGGACTGCTGAAGGATATGGGGTTTATTTTTGGGGTGATGAAATGTTCTGAAATTAGACAGTGGTGATTGTTGCACGACTTTGTGAATGTACTTCATCGTACGCTTCTAATTAAAAGGGTGAATTTTATAGTATATGAATTGTGTCTCCAAAAAAAAAAAAAAAAACCAAAACCCAGATGGAATATGGTTTAAAATCTTGATTAAAAATTGCAGGTTAGGGCGCCTGGGTGGCTCAGTGGGTTAAGCCGTTGCCTTCGGCTCAGGTCATGATCTCAGGGTCCTGGGATCAAGTCCCGCATCGGGCTCTCTGCTCAGCAGGGAGCCTGCTTCCTCCTCTCTCTCTCTGCCTGCCTCTCTGTCTACTTGTGATCTCTCTCTGTCAAATCAATAAATAAAATCTTTAAAAAAAAATTGCAGGTTACATTATGGTTACTTCTTATCATATTTAATAATCATGTTTAGTCATCTCTTAAAATTTGTACTGGCCTTGGGCTTTGAGAGGTTTTGTTACTGAAATTTTGTGTGGATAGAGAGGTGTTCTGTTTTGAAGTTAGCCTGCATTTTTTCTTCATAGCACTGTATACCACATACCAAAGTCCTTTTAATATATATTTTTAAATGAAATATCCTACATATAAGAGTAAATATTTAAAAAATAAAATGGTTACTTTAGAAGTAAAATATTATCACTTATTTTGAAAGACCATTTGTCCTCTATCTCAGCCATCTGCTTCTCCCTGCCAAAGATTTTTAAAATACTGTTGCTAGCTCCTCGGAGGAAAGAACTTACGTTGACACCCTTTTATTTACACTAAACTTGGTTAACACACAGAAGGTGCTTACTAAATGATCAGAAGTTATTTAAATTGCTTATAGAAAAAATACATGCCACAAGTGATTTATGTGCGTCTTAGAGAGTACCAACTGAAATTCTCTTTGAACTTGCTTCTATATTTGTACTTGGGTAGGAAGCTTTTTAAAAATATTCTGCCCTTTGTAACTTGCCCTTTGTCTTAGCTTGGACATCAATGGTTAAGCAAGGGAATTTTTAAGCCTTCAGCAAGAGTTACAAATAGCTAGCAGTATTAGTGAGTGAAAAAATTCGGGGTAGGGGTGGGAAGGGAGGGGTGCCTGCTAATCCAGAATTTAAAAATAGCTTTCTTAATTTAGCTGGTAAATCTCTTATGTCTAGATACAGGCACAAATTGTTTTACTCTGGATGTCAGAACATAGAAAGTGTTATGTAGAATTTACAGGTTAGACTTGATCTTATTCCTCTTATCTTGTTAATCATCAGGAAAAGAAGTTTTATTATTGATGCAAGCCCTAAACACCCTTTCAACTCCAGAGGAGAAGCTGGCAGCTCTCTGTAAGAAATACGCGGATCTTGTGAGTATTAAATCAAGGGGGTAAAGTTCATATGAAATGTGGCAAAATGTTGTATGTACTTTATAAGCTTTTTAAAATACTTTGATATAGCTTTAGACGTAAAAATTATATTGTGTTCCAAAATTGAAGAGGAGAATATTATTTCTTGGGGCTTTTTGCTGCCTTGTATGACTTCATTTTATAAGGTGATACCTATAGGACATTATAATGCTAAGATAGGGCATAGATTTTCTAAAACTCAGTTTTAGAAGTGAAAAGGCTGACTTAGAAGTACTATAGTATGATGCTGAAGATGCTAGTCTGGGTGTAGTGGTTCCTGTATTTAACTTTTCCCAGGGGAATTCTAGAGATAAACGTTCTACCCATTGTGATTGAAATTGTGAGTTAGATGAAATAGTCTACTAAAACAATACTGTGTCTCAGGAAATATTTATTTCACATCTACTATGTGCCAGGCATTTCTTTCTCCTTCTTCTAGAGAAACTGACCTCATTTGTTTTGGGCCTATGTTATTTTAAGTAGCATTAATTCTCTTTTAAAAATTATGAAAAGTCTCAACATGGAAACCCTGCCATCCTGTTTAGGTTGAAGAATGGGGAAGTTCTAGAACCCTTTGTGTAAGTGTAAGGGTTGTGGGAAACTTAGAATGAGTAAGTGTAATATAAATGCTAAAAGTAATGCCTTTTGTGAAAAACTTATGTGAATTATTGATGATTTTTATGCATTTTCATCTGTTGCTGAAGCAGATATTCCATAGCACAAATACTACTTTTTGTCACTGGGCAGCTCTAAATATCAATTCTGTTTATTATTCAAAGGATTACAGTTAATCTCCCTTGCTTTACAAAGGGGTGTGTGTATGTGCCCCCGGAGCTGGCATTCAGCAGCTTAGCACCTTCTGTTCAGAGCAGCAGGAAGCCATGTGCGTCAGTATAAATGGCCTAGAACAGTCACAAATACAAAGATGGAAGAAAACACAGTGTGGTCAGGTTGCTGGCTTCAGGAAAGGAAATCTTCCACTGTCTGTGGAAACCGTTCCTATTGGTTCCATCTGCATGAGAATCCTGTAAGAACGGTGGAAGGCAGACAGCCATGAACAGATGAGAAGAAAGGGCAGGTAGCTGCCCGGGGCAGTCCTCGGACTCACCCGTACCATCGGGACTTCTGTGAAAAGGCACATTCTGATTTGGTGGGTCTGGGTTGGGGCCTGAGAGTCTGTATTTAAACAATCTCCCAGGTGGTGATGTTAATGCTGTTGGCCTTTAAATCACACTTTAAGTAGCAGGGGTCTAGGCTGTTTTTGTTTGTGGCTTTTATTGTGTGTGTGTGTGTGTGTGTGAGAGAGACACACACGTGTGTAGGTGGGTATGGTTATTTTTAAGTCCCAGTAATAATGGCTACATTCATTTTAGGATGTGTGACACATTAGACTTGCCTAGTAGTAACCTCTCTTTGCCTCAGATTTGTAGCAGTGAGACCATCAATGGAGTAATCTCTTCCTAAGGCTATTTAGAAAACTTCCCTTTTGTCATCACTGTCCTCTGTCCTTTTTGTGATAGCATCATCTGACATCATTGGTGCTTGTGGCGTGGATAAGTAGAATGTCCTGTAGAGCAGATGGTATGGCATGTTGCACTGTAACTGGGATGGGCTACTGGGGAGACCTTGTGGCCTCCATGTTTACCAAATAGTATGGGTTCTTGAAATGCTCACATTTCACTTGCTAAGTGTGGGTATCATTAGGTTTGTAACATGATTCTTAAGTATGTGTTATAGTGCTATTCTTTCCCATTCCTGAGTCAGTTTGTGTAGATGTTGATTATTTATTTTTTTTTAAGATTTTATCTATTTATTTGTCAGAGAGAGCACAAGCAGGAGGAGTGGCAGGCAGAGGGAGAAGCTGGCTCCCCGCAGAGCAGGGAGCCCAATGCGGGACTCAATCCTAGGACCCTAGGATCATGACCTGAACTGAAGGCAGACCCTTAACTGACTGAGCCACCCAGGCATCCCAAGTGTAGATTATTATAGTGTAATAAAAATCCTGATATCTGCTGGGGTAGGTGTATATATTCTTGTTATTAATCTTTTTGTTAGAAGTATCTTGGCTATTCTTGGCTCTTTATTACATTTTAGGTTCAACTTTCTGGGAAAAATTGGAAAAAACACCATTTGGGGATTTAGAAGAACATTTCATGGATTCTGTTGGTGCATTTGGGGGAGACTTGCCATCTTCATGAAATTAATGGAACTTAAAAAGTGTATATCCTGGGACACCCGGCTGTTTAAATTGATGGAGCATGCAACTCTTGGTCTCGGGGTCATGAGTTGGAGCCCCATGTTGGGTGTAGAGATTACTTAAATAAATAAATCATTTTTTTAAGTGTATATCCTTATGGGAAAGAAATTACACACAATGTGAAGAAAGAAATTAATCACACAATGATTAATTCCAAATGGATTAAGGGTTTAAATGTAAAAAATTAAGCTTTAAAGATTTTAGATATTTAGATTTATTTAGATATATTAAATAAATATTTTTCTAAACTTGGGTTAAGAGATTTTTTCAAAAGATATATTTTTATTTTTATTTTTTTTTTATTTTTTTTTTTTAAAGATTTTATTTATTTATTTGACAGAGAGCACAAGTAGGCAGAGAGGCAGACAGAGAGAGAGAAAGAGAGAGAGAGAGGAAGGGAAGGAAGCAGGCTCCCCGCTGAGCAGAGAGCCTGATGCGGGGCTCGATCCCAGAACCCTGAGATCATGACCTGAGCCGAAGGCAGAGGCTTTAACCCACTGAGCCACCCAGGCGCCCCAAAAGATATATTTTTAAAAGATTTTATTATTTATTTGACAGAGAGCTATGGCGAGAGGAAACACAAGTAGGGGGAGTGGGTGAGGGAGAAGCAGGGTTCCTGCTGAGCAGGGAGCTTGATGCGGGGCTTGATCCTAGGACTCTGGGATCATGACCTGAGCTGAAGGCAGATGCTTAATGACTGAGCCACCTAGGCTCCCCTATTTTATTTATTTTAGGAAGAGACAGAGAGAGAGGAGTGGGAGGAGAGAGAGAGAGAACCAACCACAAACAGACTCACTGTCAAGTGTGAAGCCCAATGCGGGGCTCTGTCTCACAAACCTGAGACCCTGACCTGAGCTGATATCAAGAGTCTCATGCTTAACCAGCTGAGCCACCCAGGCGCCCCAAGGGAAGGATTTCTTACAACACAAAAAGCACTATCAGAGAAAGGATTGCAAGAATTGGCTGTGTTGAAATTAACTTTCTGTTCAGCAAAAGACACTTCAAAAGACAGTGAGACGTCACATTAAAGAAACTGGGAAGAACATATTCCAGCAAATACAACCAACAGAATATTTAGTTTCAGGAATATCTAAGGAACACCTACAAATGAATACAAAAAGAAAAATAACCCAATGGGAAACTGGGCAAGAGACAGGTAAGAGGCATTTTAGAGAAGTGGAAAAACATGAAGATACAAAGATACCTTAACATAAAGGTGCATAAACATATAAAGAGATGTTCGACTTTATTAGTGATCAGGGAAATGCAAATCTGGACCAGAATGAGATGTGATTTTATATCCACTGCAGCGGCATAAGTTAAGAATTCTGATTATACTTAGTTTTGGAGAGGATGTGCATCTATCTACATGATCTCTTCTGAGTTGCTGATGGGAGAATAAATTTGCCAGCCACTCTCGAAAAGAGTTTGGCATTGTCATGTGAAGTAGAACATGAGTCACTGCCTAGCAGTCCCGCTCCTAGGTTTGCACCCAGAGAGGTTCTTGCATGTGTACAGCAGGGAGCACATAGGACAGTGTTCATAACACTGTAAGCAGTCAAGTCTGGGAACAACCCAAATGCCCATTGGCTTGAGATTGGGTCAGTAAAGTACGCTGTGTGTGCCATATTTTTTAAGTGAGATGTCCTGTAACCAGTGGGGCCAAATCTGCCGAGGCCTGTTTCTGTACTGCCCACAAGCTAAGAATGGTTTTACGTTTTTGAAGTGTTTAAGGAGAAGAAGACGACAATGCAACAGAGTATGTGGCCCACAAAGCCTTAAAACACTTACTTTTTGGCCATTTACAGAAAGGGTTTTCTGTTTCTTGATCTGTGCAAACAATTTGGATGCGTTCTAGCAATGTAATCTACAGTTGTGCTGTCCAAAATGGTAGCCGTTAGCTACACGCAGCTATTTAAGCTCACTTTAAATTCAAGAAGAAATTCAGTTTTTTAATTGCACTAGCCACAGAAGAGTCAAAATAACTGAAACCAGAACAGTTCTTTTAGGACCACATACAAATGAGGTGAACGAGAAGAGCAAAGGAACGGTGATCCTGGGATTCGGGACTGTGATCACCTTGAGCCTGAGAGGGCGGGGCTTGCAGCTCTCCGCGGAGTTACAGATGTCTGTACAGGCGGGGAGCCTCCTGCAGCTGTGCTGCACCTGTGGTCATAATAATGTTACTTTGCAAAAGTATTATACAAAAATAAAATTACTTTTTCTGCAAGAATTTCTGTAAGGATGTTTTTAATAGCTGTGAGCATATGGCATTTAAGGATGCTTGGTATGTTTTGATAGGCCACAAGGTGTCACTCTTGCTCTTGAAATTGACTCAGCATCTTTTCTGTGAACCGTCAGGAAGGTTGCTGCCTTAATCTGCGTTGATTTAACCTTGAAATATACTTACTTGCTCCAAACCTAAAATTGCAGCAATTCCTCTCTTTCTCACAAAAAACTTGAATGCTGCTTTTTCTTTTTCTTTTTCTTTTCTTTTTTTTTTTTTTTCTTTTTCCTTAGAGAGCAGGTGCATGTGCCTGAGCTGAGGAGGGGAGTGTGGGCAGAGGGAGACAGAGAGAGAACCTTCAGCAGGTTCTACACCCAGCGTGGAGCCCGGTGCAGGGCTCAGTTTCACAACCCAGAGATCCTGACCTGAGCCAAAATCTGGAGTTGGATGCTTAGCCGACTGAGCCACCGTGGTGCCCCAGTACTGCTTATTCAGATTTGGAGAACCATTTCAATAGAGCAGCCTGTGTGTTTTTCAGAAAAGTAAAACTCCTTGGTGTTGATTTCTAAAGTTTTTCCAAAAACACCATTTAGCAATTTTTAATAAGAGATTAAGGGGTGCTTGGCTGGCTCAGTTGGTAGAGCGTGTGACTCTTGATCTCAAGGTTGTGAGTTTGAGCCCCGCTTTACGGGTAGAGTTTTTTTTTTTTTTAAATAGATTAAGATTGTTTTTTCCCCTATCCTTAATTATTTGTTTACTTTCATATCATGACTAGAAAAGAGAAGGTTGGCAGAGTAATATGTTACAAAATAAGTTTTAAAAAATACTGTATTACTTGGTTTTTGAAAATGTAGTTCCATAGTTCTTAGTGTAATTCCTCCAGCCGTAACTCAAAGGTTTTCATTGTACTTCCTGATTGTAAAGTGTTTATTAATTTTAGCTGGAGGAAAGCAGAAATGTTCAGAAGCAAATGAAGATTCTGCAGAAGAAACAAGCCCAAATTGTGAAAGAGAAAGTTCACTTGCAGAGTGAGCACAGCAAGGCTATATTGGCAAGAAGCAAACTAGAGTCTCTTTGCCGGGAACTGCAGCGTCATAATAAGACATTAAAGGTTAGTTGGTTCAGTTTTCTGTTTTTCAGGAGGGACTGACACTGGCTTGGCTTACTTTATAATCACTGTGTACCTATTTGAAGTAAATCTTTTGTCTCTACATGTCTCTACATGTCTCTACACTCTTTTGCTTGGCCTGATGCTTCTTAATGGACCTCATACCTGGCCATGGGAAATCTAATTGAGATTGATTTTTAGACCACAGCTTACCTGCATGAAGCCCTGGCTTAGGAAACTCAGAGTTGCCAGTTTTTTGCTGAGCACTGAGGTAGCTGATTACCACGTAGGAGAAGCTGACGTGAATGCGAAGCCGAACAGAAACAGACTTGAGGCAGAGACTGGATCTGGGGAGGGAAAACAGCCGCTGAGCTCCTTAGGAGCTGTTCACCAGCTGCATGGCCAAACCACCCTTGCCTACCCCCAGTACCCAGAGGCTAAGTACTTTTAGAATAGCACATAGCACTCGTTTTACAGCAGGGCAGTTTGCCTCTCTGATTGTCTACTCAGGAAAAGCTGTGTGCTTATCAGATGATCACCTTCTGGTTCCAGATAAAGGGAAGGGGAATCAGAGTTCAGAAGCAACCCTTTAGGGTCACAATAAGTAAACCCCTGGAGCAGCGGCAGCTTTTATGAGTATCTTCTGTGTAAGTCTATACCATTAACAGGAGTTTTTTTGGATAATAAGGAAGAAAATATGCAGCAGGCACGAGAGGAGGAAGAAAGACGTAAAGAAGCCACCGCACACTTCCAGATCACATTAAATGAAATCCAGGCGCAGCTGGAGCAACATGACATACACAACGCCAAGCTCCGCCAGGAAAACATTGAGCTGGGAGAGAAGCTGAAGAAGCTCATTGAACAGTACGCTCTGAGGGAGGAGGTAAAGCCATTCTGTTGGTTCAGACAGCTTCTCGTGATCAACGGGGGTTTCTCCCCATTCACTGCCAGAGGAATACTACCGCCAGGATGTTTTAGAACTTTCATATTTGCGTAGTGCAAGTTGGGTTTTTCTCAGGAAAACTTTAGACACCACGAGAACAGGAGTCTTGGGGGTTGTCACTTAGATAGTTGGGAAGAGTCTGTGGCTGTGGGTAGGTGAGGCGGTTTCTTAGCGAAGCGTTAAGTGCTCCTTGTCTTCCACCTGATGCTACAAGATTGCATATTTAGCATGCAGATTTTCCCCCTTATCTAGACTAATAAATATTTGGCCTTCAGATACGCTGTAACTCAGACATCTGTGATAACCTATACAGTCTACATTACCGTTGTATTATACCTGCGTTTTAGATTCTTTCTTTTAGTGGGGGTTCTATACTATTTGAGAGGAAAAATAGAACCTATTTCTAAACTTTCATACCCACTGAAGTAAAAAGCTTATTGGAAGGATCCATGCCTGCTGGTCTTGGTCATTGGTCTCCGACTAAGACTTTTTCAGGCTCGTCAGGCAATTCAGAGGTGTTAATTAAAAGCAAACAGGTGATGGTCTGTTTTTTTGTTTTTTAAAGCCTCCTCATTTTTACAGGCCAGATGGGCAGGATTAGAGACATTAGGCTTTTTATTTATTTATTTATTTATTCAAAGAAAATTATGTTAATTTATTTCTTTCACATGTTTATCTGCTAAAAGTTTTTTTTCCCTTATTTTCAGTTAGCCAGCATAGAGCACATCATTAGTTTTTGATGTAGCGTTCAGTGATTCATGAGTTGCATATACCATCTAGTGCCCATCACCACATGGGCCCTCCTTAACGCCCATCACCTGTTTACCCCATCCTCCCACCCCCGTCCCTTCTGTAACCCTCAGTTTGTTTCCTGGAGTCTAGAGTCTTTCATGGTTCGTGTCCCTCTCTGATTTCTTCCATTCAGTTTTCCCTCCCTTCCCCTGTGGTCCTCTACACTATTCCTTATATTCCACATATGAGTGAAACCATATGATAACTATCTTTCTCTGCTTGACTTATTTCACTCAGCATAATCCCCTCCAGTTCCATCCATGTCGATGCAAATGGTAGGTATCCGTCCTTTCTGCTGGCATCAGGCTTTTTATACAGTGCATCCCCTGCCTTTGAAGTTAGGGAAACGTGCTTTTGTGTGTGTTGTAACCCTACACAAGTAGATTAAAATAGCTGGTTAAAGGGAAAAAAAAGATTGGCCCCTCTGTGGGTTACTGTATTCAGTTTTGAAGGCAAACTTTAGATCATGCTAACTTAGAGTCTTACTTTCAGCCCTTCAAAAAATACTTTTGTTAAAAAGATTGTTTCTTTATTATTTGAGAGAGAGAGTGCATGCGGGCGTGGGGGGAGGGGCAGAGGGAGAGAGAGAATCCCAAGCGGACTCCCTTCTGAGCACGGAGCCCCGGAGCCCAAAGCAGGGTTCCATCTCAGGACCCTGAGATCATGACCTGAGCCAAAATCACGAGTTGAACACTCAACTGACTGAGTCACCCAGTGCCCCTTAATCACTCTCTCTGCCTTTTCCCTTTTTTAAATGGAGAATTATAAACTTAAAAGTAGAGAATATGTCATCTGGTTTTAGCAGATGAAATCACAGTTTCAGCTTTATTCCCATCAGCTTGCCCTGGGTTATTTTGATACAACTTCAAGGTGTTCTCTTCCATTCCGTTCATATATATTTGAGGGTATACCTCAAAAAGATAAGGATTTTTTTTTTTTTTTTTTAGCACAACCACACTATCGTTTTCACACGTAACAAAATTAACAGTAATTACTTAATGTTAAATACTGAGTCATCGTTCAATTTTCTGTAGTTGTGTCTCCCCCCCATTTTTTTTTTTTTTTTAAGCTCTTTGAATCAAGCTCTAAACAAAGTCCATGTGTTTCACTGATTGATCGGTTTCAGGTCTGTAACATGAAGATTTCCAGGGGCGCCTGGGTGGCTCAGTTGTTAACCATCTGCCCTGGGCTCGGGTCAGGATCCCAGGATCCTGGGATCGAGTCCCACATCAGGCTATCAGCTCAGCAGGAAGCCTGCTTCTCCCTCTCCCACTCTCCTTGCTTCTGTTCCCTCTCTTGGTGTCTCTCTCTGTCAAGTAAATAAATAAAATCTTTAAAAAAAAAATGATTTCCTCTTCACTCTTTTTTTTTTCCTTTGAGTGTTTATTGAAGGAACTTTTTTGCCCTAGAGAATAAATTTTATATTAGATTATAAAGGCCTCAATTTTCTTAAAATTGTTCTTTTAGTTTTTAATATGACAGTCTGACACATGATAGATGTAGAAAACTTGAAAACTATGTACATTTAAGCACATTACATGTGAGTCTTATTTTGAGTGTTATCGGATGTTCTTTGGTCAGGAAGAGTTACTCTGTACATCTGAGAAGGGGTGTTCTGATGACTGTATTGTATGTAAATAACTACTTAACAATTTTGTTTGGAAATCGTAATGACATCTTAGCAAATGTCTAATATGTGCTGGGCACCAGGCACCTTACACAGCAGAGCCACCACATTGGCTTTTAGAGCTCTGCAGCAAATGTGGTTATCTCTGCTTGGCGGAGGGAAGTGAGAGTCAGCAAGGGGAAAATCTACCCCAGGCCACGCACCAGCCAGGACTTGACCTGGGGCCACTTCAGTTGTCACAGCATGCTGCCTCTGGCTGAGAAATCTGGGAAACTTAAAGGGGAGAAAAATACCCAGGAGTTAATGTGTCTGATATATAGGTTTAACAGTTTGATGATCTTATCCATCTTTTTCTTGATACATTTTTGAGCCTCATTTTCATTGTAAGGCAGGAATAGGAAGTACAAGTGTGTGGTTAATGAGGCTCCTTGACAGTCCGCCTCCGAAAGGGAGGGGGTACAGGGTAGCAGCTGGAAGGCTCCTTTCCTGCAAGTGCAAACCCAGGAGGGCTTGCAAGGCGATGTAAAGCTCACTCTTCTAGAAACTCATGGACCCAATGTCCTCAGCTATGGTGGGATTAGCAGGAAAAGCAGGGTAAGAATAAGCAAGGTATTGTAACTTGTGTTGTTTCCTCATCATTGTGTTCCTTTTTCATTAAGTGATGTAAGAAATTTTACTTCTCCCATAGCATATTGATAAAGTGTTCAAACATAAGGAATTACAACAACAGCTTGTGGATGCCAAGCTTCAGCAGACGACACAGCTAATAAAAGAAGCTGATGAAAAACATCAAAGAGAGAGAGAATTTGTAAGTTCTCTTTCTTAAAAAAAGAAATTTATTGTCAAAATTGTAACCAAAGCCATTCAAAATACTTATTCTACGTTAATAGAGCACCTGGGTCATGCTAATTGGTTTTTTGTTCTAGACTGAGAAGGCCATGTGTGTGTTAGAAAGTATTTGGCTATTTATTTCTGTTTAACTTTTTTTTATACAGAAGACACATGGGAGAGATTAGACCAAATTAGTAGAAAGATCTGCACTCATTTGACTTTTTCATGCTTACAGTTATTTCACTTTGGTAATGGTCACCAGGTTTAAGAATTATACCAGTATTCAACACATTAAATGTGGTGGTTCAGTTTAATATTGAGCTTACCAAACACTGGTCTCCTATATACCCTGATACTTTGCTTTCAAACAAGTAACTTGAAACTAAGAAACCTATTTGTCTATTTACTCTGGTATACTTTTATGATAAAATTTTAACAGAATTCTCTATACCTAATCACTCAGCTTCGTTCCCAGAGTGTATATTCAGACTATATTGCCTGTCAGTAATTGTGAATACAGTGGTATCTCATTGGGTATGTATATTTAACAAAAGCAAATTCAACTTTATGTGCTTAGCGCCCCCCCCCCCAAATAAAGATGAGAAATGATGATGGCAATGAGGACTGCTCATCCAGCTCTCACTCAAGTAGCACAGGCCTTGTGGCAAGCCTGGTGTGAAGGCTCTGTGAGCGGCCCTCATGATGTGAACTTACCATGTTGAGTGTGGGTCTAGGCTTAAGAGAGACCTGTTTTTCATACAGCACCATCTTCTGTGAGAATTAATAATGCTTTCCTGTGTATAATTGAAGAAACTGTTCTTTCCAAAGTGAGCGTATAAATTTCATATATTCACACACACATACATACATTGCACATATATACTTTAGAGTTGGTTTAATGACTTTTTAGGGCTTATTTGGGCTACATGTGACTTTTTACTTCAGGGGCTGAATTTCAACAGTTACTGTTTCACTGTATAACTTTTTCTTGAAAACTCAAGTATATAAATTAAAGCTCTCATCCACTTCTCCCCTGCTTTTTAAGAAGTGATCAGAAACTGGTCTCTGATTTCATTGCTTTGCTCCATACTCCTTCACTCTGCCTCATCCTGACTCTCAAGGAGTAAAGTGGATTTCTGAGTCGTCTAGATACTGTCAAGATTCCTAGTCATGTTTTCTGCTAATACGAAACTTCTAATTATTTTCACCTGAAACATAACAGTTTAACCCTGAGTTTTGTAAACCTATTATTCGGCCTCCAGGGTACTCTTTCTAAGCAGTAAAAGAGTGTTCCTACATTCCTGAATGTTACCAAGTAGAACAGATTGGAGAGGTAATGAGCAATTGATGTAACCGAAAATTTTATCTATAGGCTTGTAGTTCTTGCTAAAATAATGAGTGGAAGGATTAAGCCTAACTCTCTCTCTCTCTGGTCATTTGACATTATAATCATATTTGTAATTACTATTAGTATTTTGCCAGAATGTTTCTGTTTTCTAGTTATTAAAAGAAGCAACAGAATCGAGGCACAAATATGAACAAATGAAACAGCAAGAAGTACAACTAAAACAGCAGGTAACTTGACAGCAGGGTATAGTAGCATTTGTTAAAAAAAAAAAAAAATCTATGGTTCATTTGATATATACCTTGAATCTTCTCTAAGGTGCTTATGCTTGTTCCCAGCCAGAAATGAGAGTAGATCACGTGTCCCTCTTGGAGTTTTCCTCTTCATTTAGGGTGACCAGCTCAACCTGATTTGCCCAGGACTTTTGTGGTTTTAGCACTCAGAGTCCTGTGTCCCAGGAAGCACTTAGGTCTCAGCAGACTGGGACAGTTGGTGATGCTGTCTGCAGCGTCCCCTTTCCAATACCCCAGGTGTTTCCTCCCTTTCTCAGTCTGCTTCCATGTGGGTCTGCTAATTTTCAACTAACGAAGAACCGAGGAGTCTGCAGATTGGCACTCTTTTGTATTAAGTTGAATTACATGAAATCGCTGATACTTCTTTGACCTACAGAAATGGCAGTTTCATATAGTTGAACCTAAAATCTTCACAATTTTGTGCTGTGAGAACATAACCCATTTTAAAAATTGCCTATTAACCACTCTACTCTCAGAGCCATGGAGATGGTAATTTTAATGGGGCCTTCCCTACTTTTTCTTCTCTTTAAAGTATATGACACGCTATTAAGTATAGTCACCATGCTGTACATTAGATCCTCCAAACGCATTCATCTTCTAACTGAAAATTTGTACCCTTTGACCATTATCTTTGGATGTCCCCTTCCCATCAGCCCCTGACAACCACCACTCCACTTTCTATTTCTAGGAGTTTGGCTTTTTTAGATTCCATATATAACTGAGATCATATAGTGTTTTTCCCCTGGCCTATTTCACCTAGCATAATGCCCTAAAGGTCCATCCATATTATCACAAATGGAAAGATTTCTTTCTTTTTTTCTTTAAGATTATTTATTTATTTGACACAGAGATCACAAGTAGGCAGAGAGAGGGGGGGAAGCAGGCTCCCCGCTGAGCAGAGAGCCCAATGTGGGGCTCGATCCCAGGACCCTAAGATCATGACCTGAGCCGAAGGCAGAGGCTTAACCCACTGAGCCCCCAGGCACCCCTCTTTTTTTTTTAAAATGACTGAATAATATTGCATTGTGTATTTATACCACATTTTCTTCATCCATTCATCTGTTAGTAGGCACTTAGGCTGTTTCCAATTCTTGGCTATTTTGAATAATGCTGCAGTGAATATAGGAGTGCATATGTATCACTTTTAGATAGTGATCTCATCATCTTCAGGTATATACCCAGAAGTAGGATTCCTAGATCACATGCTAGTTCTGTTATTAATTTTGAGAAACCTCCATATTGGTTTTCACAGTAACTGCTGATTTACCTTCCCACCAACAGTGCCCAGTATTTCCCTTTTCTCTACACCCTTGCCAACATTTGTCATCTCTTGTCTTTTTGATAATAGCCATCCTAACAGGTGAGATGACATCTCATTGTGGTTTTGATTTGCATGTCCCTGAGGAGTAGTGGTGTTGAGCACCTTTTCATGTTCCTGTTGGCCATATGTAGGTCTTTGGAAAAATGTCAGTTCAGGTCTTCTGTCCATTTTTAAATTGGATTATATTTGTTTTTTTGCTCTTGAATTGTGTGAACTCCTTATATATGTTGTATATTAATTAACCCCTTATTAGGTATATGGTTTGCAGGTATTTTTACCCATTCCATAGTTGCCTTTTCATTTTGTTGTTTCTTTGATGTACAGAAGCTTTTTAGTTCAGTGTAGTCACTCTTGTTGATTTTTGCTTGCATTGCTTGTGCCTTTGGTATCATGACCAAAATTTCCAAGACTGCTTTTAAGGAATTTTTTAAAAAATTTTATTTATTTATTTGAGACAGAGAGAGAGATCACAAATAGGCAGAGAGGCAGGCAGAGAGAGAGGAGGAAGCAGGCTCCCCGCTGAGCAGAGAGCCCGATGCGGGGCTTGATCCCAGGACCCTGAGATCATGATCTGAGCCAAAGGCAGAGACTTAACCCACTGAGCCACCCAGGTGCCCCTCAAGGAATTTTTTACCTGTGTTTTCTTCCAGGAGTTTTTATGGTTTCAGGTCTTATGTTTAAGTCTTTAATTTTTGTGAATAGTGGTAAGAGAGGGGTCCAGTTTTCCCAACACCATTTATTGAAGAGACTGTCCTTTCCCCATTGAGTATTCTTGGCTCCTTTGTCAAATATTGGTTGACCATAGTTTATAGGTTTATTTCTGGGCTCTCAACTCTTTTCCTTTGTGTGTCTGATTTTATGCTGGTAGCATACTGTTTTGACTGCTTTAGCTTTGTAATATAGTTGGAAGTCAGGGAGCATGGTGCCTCCACCCAGTTTTGTTCTTTCTCAAGATTGCTTTGGCTATTCCAGCTCTTTGGTGGTTCTATTCAAATTTTAGGTTTGTTTTTTCTATCTCTGTAAAAATACCATTGGGGTTTTGGTAGGGATTAAATATAGATGGCTTTGGGTGGTGCGGACATTTTAATAATATTAACTTCTGATCCTTGAACACAGATATTTTTCCACTTTGTGTTGTTCAAGTTTTTCATCAGTGTCTTAGTTCTCAGTGAGTAGATCATTTATATCCTTGGTTAAATTTATTTCTAAGTATTTTAGTGATTTTGATGCTATTGTAAATTTAGGGTTTTTTTTTTTAATTTCTTTTTCAGATATTTTGTTGTTAGTGTATAGAAATGCAACTGATTTCTGTATGTTGGTTTCACATTCTGAAACTTTACTGACTTTAACAGGTTTTTGGTGGAGTCTTCAGGATTTCCTGTATGTAAGATCATTTTGTCAGCAAACAGACACAGTTTTATTTTTTCCTTTCTGATTTGGATGCCTTTTATTTTTCTTGCCTAATTGCTCTGGCTAGGAATTCTAGTAGAAGGAAAGCTTTTAAACCTTTAATGGTTGAGTACGATATTAGCTGTGAGTCTGTCATGTATGGCCTTTATTACATTAAAGTCTATTCCTTCTGTCTCCAATTTGTTGAGTGTTTATATCATGAATGGACGTTGTATTTTGTCAGATGCTTTTTCTGTACCACCTGTTGAGATGATCATGATTTTTCTCCTTTATTTTATCAATGTGGAATGTCACATTTATTGATTTGTGTATGTTGAACCATTCTTGCATCATCACAGGGATGAATTCCATTTGGTCATGGTCTGTGATCTTTTTAATGTGGTACTGAATTTGGTTTGCTAGTATTTAGTTGAGAATTTTTGTGGCTGTATTTATCAGGGATGTTGGCCTATAGTTTTCTAATAGTATCCTTATCTGGCTTTAATATCAGGGTAAAGGCTGACCTTATATAAAATGAATTGGGGAGTGTCCCTTCTCTTCAGTGTCTTTTTTTTTGAAGACTTTAGGAAGAATTGACATTCATTCATCTTTAAATGTTTGGTGGAGTTCACCCATGAGACCATCTGGGCCTAGGCTTTTCTTTGTTGCTTCCCTGTTTTTCAGTCCAAACCCCTTGTTTGTGCTAATGCAGTCTTTCACTGTGTTTGTCTAATGTGTAGTAAGGGTAGCAGATACTGCCTCCTCACTCAAAGGAAAGATACAGAAAATACTTCTGATGTCTTTATGGACGGGTAAAATTAGGCATTTACCTATAGTCCACCCTTTTCCAAGTAACTAGATTACATTCTGTTGAGAAAAGTGTTTATTTTAAAAGTTTCTTATACAACACATTTATATTTAATCTAGTAAGGTCTCTAAATTAGTTCTATAATGCACTTGATACATTGAGACTGGTCTGAATCTTTTTTTTTTAAAGATATAATTAATTTATTTAATAGAGACACAGCCAGAGAGGGAACGCAAGAAGTAGGCTTCCTGCTGAGCAGTGAGCCTGATGCGGGTCTCGATCCCGGGACCCTGGGATCGTGATCCGAGCCAAAGGCAGACACTTAACGACTGAGCCACCCAGGTGCCCTGAGACTGGTCTGAATATTTAAGAGCACCTCTTTTGAATGCTGTTTTGTCTTTGGGCATGTTTTATGATGTGGTGATGCTCATTTCCTGTAAAGGTAGCCTAACTTTGAAAATTCAAGTTTTTTTAACTTTCCACTATAACCTAGGATTGTGCTAGATTGCTTCTAGGAAATTTGAACCCCTTATTAGCTCTGAGTTGTCCATATAAATGGAGAAGAGTATTGATGTGGAAAAGGCATATAGTCTATTTGTAGATGGCTTTGGAAGATGGACTTAAATGTGGGAGTCATTGCTAATTCTCCAGGGCAAAGCACCAGAGGACCCTTCTATGAAGCTCCCAGGCAGCTCGGATTCCGCTGGATTGTTAACCATTGAAACTTCTGTTGTCAGCGATATGTGTCACCCTGGGTCGTGTTATTTGATCATTAGTTTGTCTCCTTTGCTGTCACGTCTTACTTTTCCTAGTCTAAATGTGGCTGTCCTTGCCAAGTGTTGGTCTCATTCTATGCTCTTACCATGTCAGTTTCCAGCATTTGTTGAGGAGAGAGTCGGATTGGTGTTTGTTGACCCGTTGTTCTGTAATGCAGGCATGTAAGTCTCGGTGTCCTGGTAGTTGCCACTTACTAACTACCCAGTATGGGCCAGTTTTGAGCTCTCAGATGGAACAGTCTACTTGGATAGTCCATCTTCGAGGAAAACAGCTATGAACGTGCATTTAAAACTTTTGATATTCTCTAACACACCAGGAATATTATTATGGTTATCACAATTTCCAGTATTTGAAGTGTACTTTAGAGCCATGGCCCCCAATACCCAAATCAGTCCAAATCGAACGTCCAAACAATCCATCACACTGAATTCTCACCCCTGCGCCCCCCCCCCCCCGCCCCCCAAGCCAGTGCTTCGACTTCTGTTTTGTTTTCCTGCCTATGTTAAGGAGAGAGCTATCCTTGATACCAAGCTAGGAACTGTGCAGGTGATGTTCTAAAAGAATGTTCTTTTTCCATGGACAATTTCTCAAATGTAAGGAGAGGTAATTGGTGGATTGGAGCTAGTAAATATTTGTACATTTTATTTTTTTAAAAATTTGTATTTATTTATTTGACAGAGATCACAAGTAGACAGAGCAGCAGGCAGAGAGAGAGTGGGAGAAGCAAGCTCTCTGCTGAGCAGAGAGCTGGACGCAGGGCTTGATCCCAGGACCCTGGGACCATGACCAGAGCTGAAGGCAGCCGCTTAACCGACTGAGCAACCCAGGCGCCCCTGTTTGTACATTTTAAACATTTTACATCTAAAGATGTTTAAGTCAACAAAATTTCCTCAGTTTCAGGGGATTCAGTGGGTTATAGAACTTCAGCTGTCTCTGGTAGCCAAGGGCTGAGTGTGTGTTCCTCTTTCTGTCACTTGTATCAGATAACAAATGTGTAACCATATTATGTCCTTTTAGAAAGTCTTTAGGAATTGCTTAAATTGTTTACCTGGAACTCAGAATATTTCATTACTTTTTTTCTGTAGCTTTCTCTTTATATGGATAAGTTTGAAGAATTCCAGACTACCATGGCAAAAAGCAATGAATTGTTTACAACCTTCCGGCAGGAAATGGAAAAGGTACTTGCATATTTTTAGTAGAATATTACCTAAAAGGGAATTTATATAAGAAGCTGTTTTAAGCACGAACACGACCTGGATGAGTTGCTGTTGTTATGGTACAGTCTTCATTTCTTCTCTGAACGTCCAATGGCATCCCATTTGGTCATTTTGCCCTTGGTGTGCCCCATGTAGCCAGTGGTCTCTGTGCTTAAATACCAGCTTTATTAAAGTGAATTCCTGTATTAAATTCAACTTGTTGTTACACATAAAGTGGTTTCTTTTTTGTTGTGTCTTTTGTTTTATTCGCTCAGTTGCACCCCGCCCCTCCTTCCCAAAGCTTTGTGTTTTTGGAGATTATTTGAAGATATCCAAGCCTGGAATAGTAATTACACCTTTTGGTTGGTTGATTTCATACACACACACACATACACATTTATGTATATTTATATTTATGTATTTTTATTTATATGTAATCAAAATGTCAGTGTTTCCATCTTTTTTTTTTTTTTTTTTAAAGTAATCTGCACACCCTACATGGGGCTCAAACTTACAACCCTGAGATCAAGAGTTGCACACTCCACGACTGAGCCAGCCAGGTGCCCCAGTGTTTCTACCTTTAGTTTTTTTTTTTTTTTTTTAAACTATACTCCCACTAAACATTTTTTTAAAAAATTTTATTTATTTATTTGGCAGAGAGATCACAAGTAGGCACAAGCAGGCAGAGAGGAGGAAGCAGGCTCCCTGCTGAGCAGAGAGCCTGATGCGGGGCTCGATCCCAGGACCCTGAGATCATGACCTGAGCCGAAGGCAGAGGCTTAACCCACTGAGCCACCCAGGAGCCCCTCCCACTAAATTCTTTCTCCTTCAACCAAACCCATTCTTTATTTGACTTCTTTTTTAATTTTCTTGTCTACGTTAAGGAAAGCAATATCCTTGATAACCAAGCTGAGAACCAGAGTATATCCATCCATCCATCCGTCCGTCCATCCATCCATCCATCCTTATTTTATGTGGCATATTCCCCTTAGAATGGGACTTTATGAAATGGTGGTGGGTTGGGTAGAAGTACAGCATTGCCTGGCACTTCGTAAACATCCAGTAGATGTTCGTCGTGACTATAACTAGGTCTTACGTAGTGGCTGGGGGAGTGGGCTCTGGGTCGTGTCCCAGCTGCGTCATATAATGTGTGGCTGGGAACAAGCTGTTGAACCTTTCTGGGTCTTCTGTATAAATAACAAACACCTACCAACATAAAGTGGAGTATTTCAGACAGTGCTTAGCCGTGTTAAGTGCTCAAATTACCACCTTCGGGTATTTTTGGTCCCAGGCGTCGGGGAGTGCGGGGAGTGGTGCATTAGTGCGGCCCGCCGGTCCTTCCAGCCGGTCCTTCCAGCCGAGGGTCCCTGCACACAGCGAGCGCCCTGTTAAGGCTGAACAGAGGTTAAGACAGGCTCTGGGGGTCGCTGTCCTTGCTACTCGCAGCTTGGAGATCGCGGTCGGTCAACACTCGACCCAGATCTTAGCTCTTCCCGTGGTCTTTGTCCCACCCTGCCCTGTGTTACAGTTTTGTGGCAGGGCGCTGGCTCTGTTGTATCCTTGGTTCCCCTGATGGCACCTGGCTTGGTGCCCCGCGTGGGATCGGAGCGGGGGCGCAGTCAGCAGTGCGCGGAGGAATCTTGAAAACGGGGCTCGGGGCCGGGCAGAGAGAGAAGTCTGTGAATTTCTGAAAACTGGGTTCTTACAGGTTTAAGAATGTTCCACTTATTTGGGGGCCCATTTTCTCTTCAGCAAAACCTAAAGTCAGTCTTGCAGAGTTGGGAGGATGCCCAAAGCTAAGGATAAAATGACCCTTTTTTTCTTGGTCGCTAGAATGTTCCCGAAGTGACACTGCCTGTAGTTTTGAAACGGATGTGGTCTTGGATGTTGTGGTAGGTCATCAGTTCTGAATCTTCGCAGGGAGCTCGGACAGCCCTGTCCTGCCAAGAACCAGACAGATTAGTGAATAGAAGACCCCAACTTGGACGTGTTTCCGTCCAGCCCGGGGAGGGGTCTCTCCTGGTCAAGCCCAGGCAGAAGGAAAGGCGCGCCCCGGCCGAGGTGGGAGCGACCGCTTCCTCCGTGTGCCGCGGCCTCCCGAGCCGGGCAGGCTGGCGTGTCTCGCGCTGCGAGAGCCCCTCCTTCGCTTCCCGCCGCCGCCCCTAGGGGCGCTCCCGGGGGCCGCGGTCCCTGCGCGGGGCCGGTGCAGTGAGGGGGGCGGCGGGGGGCGGGCAGCGTGGTTCTGTGGTGGGACGGGGTGGAGAGAGATGGAACTTAGAATTTACATTTGCAACTGTGTTGATTGACAGATGACCAAGAAAATTAAAAAACTGGAAAAAGAAACAATAATATGGCGCACCAAATGGGAAAACAATAACAAAGCGCTTCTGCAAATGGCTGAGGAGGTGAGGTGGTTTCCCACGACTAAGGTGTGTTCGTCGTCACGGGACGGATGGAGCTGCCGCCCCACACAGGGCAGGGCCGCGCGGCGACACCGCTGCCAGAGTTGAGGGCTCTGGTCGGAGCCGGGGCGCGGACGGCTGCGCGGTCAGCCAGTGTCCTCGGGGCTCGCGGAGCGGGGGCGGCCGTCGAGCGGCGGGGTGTCGCGGGCCTGCAGCCTGTGAAGACCGGGGTCGAGGGGTCCACGCGGTCTGATGGCCGAGTTCCGGGGCGGTTTGCAAGAATCCGGGTGGGGCGGCCGCCGCCGCCGCGGGGCCCACCTCCGGCGATGCCGAGACCGGCCCCGCTGCCTGCCTTCCTGCTTGGACGGAGGCTTCGGAAAAGGCGGCAGAGGAGGGTTTTTGCCGGCCCAGACGTGTCGTGTGCACTCAGTTTCCCGGCTTGAATCTCGCTCTCACCTCAATGGTAGAACAAGAGAAATCTATGTGGAAAAGAATCCTTTTCTGTGTTTAATCAGGCCCTTAAGTTTCTGATCTTTAGCTTTGTGATGAGTATCTTGAAATTTCCTTAGTAGTTGATCAATACCAAATGCTTTTAAAAGGGCATTTCGGTTATTTCTTAGGCCCCCCGGGCCAGTGGCGAACCGTGGGGAACCGTTAAGTCCCACCTGGTGCGCGTAGACGGGCGGAGCAGCCGCTTCCGCTCGGGTGCGCGGGGAGGAGACCGAACGCCTCCGAGACGTGATTGAACAGGTGGTTTCCAGGGCGGCTCAGGTTAATTTGTGTCCCGTGAACGGACTCGTGTTCAGCGAGGTTACGTAAGCCCTCTTTTTCCCTTCCAGAAAACTGTCCGTGATAAAGAGTACAAGGCCTTCCAGATCAAACTGGACCGGTTAGAGAAGCTGTGCCGGGCGCTCCAGACGGAGCGGAACGAGCTCAACGAGAGGGTGGAGGTCTTGAAGGAGCAGGTCTCCGGGAGAGCTGCGGGCGAGGATCCGGCGCTGCCCGCCACGCAGCCCTGCCCTGGCCCCGAGGCCCCCAAGGAGCTGAACACTGCTTCTAGAAGCGCCCCGGGGGGCCCCCTGGACGCCGTCCCCAGGCCCGCGAAGGAGAAACCGGCCGTGTCTGCAGGTGCCGCGCCGGGCATCGAGTCTGTTGACTGAAAGGAAGTATGATCACTGTATCGAGAGCTCTATTTTGTGTATAACTTTCTGTTAGTAGTAACTATTGGTTTTGTGGTGAAAATTTTCTTACTTTTTCTACCATATCTGTATTTTCTTAGAACTACTGGACTTACGTGGTACAGGAGGCTGCTTAGCAGTTTTGAATAGTTTTCCTCTATACATTTTCCTCAGCCGTGTTGCACATCTGCCTCATTTCCCTTCCATGGAATGCATGTGACCATCACCTTGTCCTATTTTCCCTGTTCCTTGGACAGAATTACTCAAATTTCACTCGAGATAGGGCCGATCCTCACAAGGGAACTTTGTTCTGATAATGGTTCCCTGATGTGAAAACAATATTGATTCAAACATCCCGCTCCTCCATTCATATAACTCAAAAAAAAAAAAAAAGATGATTTAGTTTTATCTAATAGCCCACTTTAATGCCAAGTAAAAATAAACTAGGGTTGGGCCAGAAATAAGCATAGCATCTTTGATTCAAATTAGCTTTTTGATAATATTTATATCCAGTTGACATGGCTGCAAGCCTTGAATACTCCGTTGCGGCAGATGTACATGAAGGTGTCACTTTTACAGTAGTAGATATAGACCAATCATTGGACAAACAAAACGGGCTTAATGTTTGTGACTAAGAACAATCCTCCTGCTTTGGTTTCAGGTTAGAACTAGAATCCATGTTTGAGCTCGGACCACCTAGATGTTCACTCTGGAGTATGGCGGCTTGTTTGCTTTCAGTTCGGGATTTGGGTACGCATGCTCCCCTTCCCGCAGAAGGCAGCCATCGGTAGTTGTCATTTTAAGACAATGAGGGTTAAGTTCATGTGTAGCTTTCATCAAGCAATAGTCCCTCCGCTACCGTGCTGCCCTCCTAGCTACTTGAAATTTGGTGTTCAACTGTTTGCGAATCCCACCAGCGAAGTTCTCCAGATTTTTAAAAAGGTTAATTTGAATTGCGGATCATGCTAACTGAAATGGGTTTTATTTCTAAAACACAAAGACTGGAACCCACACTTTTAACTGTGGGAAGACTTGGCAGAGAGTTTTTAGTAGTCAAGATCGATGATGCTTTTGGTCTGGTTCTCAACCCTTTTCTTAATTACTATTTTTTAAGAAAAAAGCCAGTAGTAGGATCAAGGGGGAACTTTCCATATGAAGCACGTCACTTCTCAATTAGTTTTCTTTGTTCTTAAGGATGTTGAATATGGCTGAGATAGGCAAATAAGTCAGGTTGTACCACGCAAGCTTGGACTTTGTCCCTGATAAAATTTGCATTGAAATCATTTATGAAATAGGCTCTACTAGAATTGATATTACCACATTCCACAGAGCAAAACTATCAAACTGACACTGAAATTGCTCACTGGACTAAATCAAAGTCCGTTCTGTCCAGTTAAAAGGGTTTTCTCTTTAAAAGTGTCTCTGTAAAGTCCTGTCCTATTCATGGTCTAAAGTGGGTTGAATGAATTGAAAGTTGTCTCACAGAAGCTTCCGCCACCATTGGTCATAGGAATCAAGGGGCCAGAGAGTGGAGAGAAAGAAAACCAGAGCCGGTTCTCTCATGACTGTCAAAGATGAGTCGGAAGCTAAAAACAAATATCCCCTCCTCCGACGGCCTCGTATAAATACTCCTTTCCGCTACTAGATGAAATGTTGGACTCCTTTCCCCTAGAGGAATGAAGGTATTTATCAGAAATATAATCTACTTTACAATTAGTACTAATGATCCTATTTCACAAGAACTCTGCTGGATGTACAGCTCTTACTGCTGAAGCCATTCGTGTAGCCCACCACGGCTCTTTGTGGTGCTTGTCCTGTGTGGAAGATGTAATTCTCGGACGCGTTGCCTATTCTCAAGGGCTTTCTAAAGCGATGTGATTGGAACAGTCCTTGGCCTGCTGCTTTCGGCTTTGACTATGTATCTGTAGCTAGATGCGGTCATGGTAAAGGAGGTCGATTGTTTGGGATGCGTGAGGGGTCCTTTCGGAATCCTTCCTGCCATCACCCTGTGACTACAAACAGGCCCCTCTGCAGACACCCTCCTCAAGCGATCACCTCACCAGCCCAGTGTTGTGGCTTTGTAGCACGCCCTGTGTCCACCGTGTTCTAGAACACTGTCCTGCTGTTAGGCTGGTCCAGAAAAGGTTTAAATGTCACATTCACTTCAGCTGCATCTGTCGCACCGTCATGGGATCTTGCTGTGTGTTACTCGTAGTGGCCATAGACTCCGAGGAGTAGAGAATACTTGGGTCTTGGATCATGGACCATTTCACCCTCAGACTTGTTAGGAGTACATTTCTTGGTCTTGAAACCAGTGTTTTTTAGTTACGTATGCAACTGCCTTTATTACACCTGGTTATCACAATCCAATTCTCAGGTGTTGCAGAAAAATCTACCTCTTTCAGACTGTAGATGGAAATAACTGTGAAAAACAAAAGATGCAGAGATCTTCTAGTTTGTGCTAAACACACGGCTTTATTTTTACAGCCCACGTCTTTCATGAGGATACGAATTGTTCAGAGGCAGTCTTGTTTTGCTTTTCAAAGACATTTTGTAGAGATTTTTCACTAATGTGAATCTGATTTTATCTACGCGATTCTGTATAGATTAAGTAAATATGTATGATAAATTTGACAGCGTCTGTGTCTCCTTCCGTCGCCCACGCGACCTCACCTGTCGAGCCACCGCAAGGACTGGGGCACACGGTTGGGTTCTCAGGCCTTACCAAGGGCGGAGCACCAGCTCACCCTGGGACTGGGTGGCAGAGGACTCCTTTTACGTAGCCAGACCTCTGTGCGTACTTTTTTGGGTATTTTTTGCACCTTTAGGGGGGAAAAAAAAAAAGGACCCTAAAAAAATCCTATAGTTTAGCTGCTGTCAAACTGTTTAAAAAAAAAAAAAGGAAAAAAAAAACCAACCCTGCATTTCCACAGGTCTTAGCTGCTCCCAGCACATTTCAGGGTGCACCTATGTGAGTAGCAAGAGAATTCGGTATATTATAGAGGCATATAGGGAACGATTTAATTTGAAGATGAACAAAAAGTATTTAAGCACATTAGCTTTAAAGTTGGCTGGCCCCGCTTACATTTGACTGTAATTATTTTAGACTTAATAGGCTACAAGGTCGTTGTTGTCGATTTTTGATCTGTTAAAATTAAAAACCATCACGCTGGCAGCTCCTGCAAAACAGGCTGAGGGGCCAACCTGGTATATCCCCTTGGCTGAGCCCTGCTGTATAAGCGAGCAAGCTTTCTTGGGGGGAGGGGTAGAAGTTACAGTAGGTCCGTGTCTACAAGTCTAACCTTCCCCGATCTTTGGATCAGGACACTCACGTATCCTGCAAAGTAATTCCGCACACACACGTACCAGCTTTCTCACAGGAAGGGACGCACACGGACAACACATTCATACTCTCCTACCCGGGTTCTAAGAAAACAAAACCAAATTTATTTTAAAACTTTATTTCTGCAAAGCCAATCAACAAGTGTTGGAGGGAAAAAGTGTAAAAGTTATTCTTGCATATTTGGGAACAGCAAGCACTTAGTTTGAGAAAACAAGGACTTAAAATAGTTGAATCAAAGGCAGTACCCTGCTACTTGTATTTTAAAACAACAGTGATGTTCTTTCTTAAACAACATTCCTTTCTTCCCTAAAAGCTACAATATGATACAGTACGCAATAGCTCACTTGAAAGTGCTAGAATCAGAAGGTAAAGAACGCCATACGCCAGCCCACTTACATTTCCTACTACACAAGGCCTTTTCGGCGCTTGATAAACCAAGCATTCATGTAGCATTACATTCAACAGGAACATTTCTTGTACTTTGGGTTTTAAGATCCTTGCCCCTCCAGTTCCGATGTTGTGACATCTGACTCTTCATCATTGTAAATATTTTCAGCCTGGAGAGGACAACCAAATAAATGCATAGGTAAAACTCACCATGGTTTTTTATAAAACCTCCTAAAAACAGCATTTAATTCTGTCTAGATTTTAGGATTCACTGGTCAGCGTGTTTCTGTGTTGGACATTTTTAGAGTAATTTACTTAGTAGTTCCCCCCCCGCCCGGACTTGAATAAGGAAAACCCAGGGCCAGTGTTCTCATTTGGCAGAAGAGCCCACCGAGCCACCAAGCTGCCCACGTGCTACCACTTTCTGTAGTAAAAAGTGTTTTCCAAAAGCATCTCAAGCATCCCTGAGATGAAGCACCGGCCCTGCGGGTTAATGAGAGGGTTAACACCACCTCAGAAACACTAGGTGCTCAGTACTCCGCTTCCGAGGACTCGTGGACGCTTTGCTCCCATCCTTCATGCCCATGATGGAGCAGACCCCGGACCTACAGCAGTGACGCCAAGAGCCCAGTGGACGAAGCGGACGACATCACGCAAAGCGCAACAGAGGCCGAGTCCCCGTCTGTGTGCGGACACAGATTTCTCCTGACCTGACAGGTGCATGCTGAACTTAAAGACTTGTTAAAATGGAGAAAGGTCTTTTAAGATTGTGCACATTACACCAAATTTAGAAAAGCAACCATCTGTAACAAAAACACTTTGAGTGGATGTCTCTTCATTCAGGAAAAATAAACACTTGAGCTCACCATTTGCCATATCTGCATGATGTTATCCTCAGACACCGAGCAGATGACCCAAGGCTCATTGGGGTTCCAACTAAAATCTGATATCTTGGCGGTGTGTCCTCCATGAATAAACTGTTAATAAGAATTTTAAAAAGCCTTTGTTTCATATCTTAGTTTTCAGAGCATCAATCTTGCAACTGAGGTTCAAAGGGAGGGGTTTACAGGCTTAGTAATCCACCCCTTGCTGCCTTTGCAAGTTTCCAGACCCTCAAGAAAGATGGGACAGTCCAGGGAACGCCTGGCTACCCTTTGCCTACACTCCCGATACAAGTATGTGCACAGGTGCGTTTCTCTCTCTCTCTCTCTCTCTCTCTCTCACACACACACACACACACCCCTAAGCCGCCCCCCCTAAGTACTTCACCCCACATCACCCAAAAGTAAAAGTAAGGACATCTTCCTACACAACCACAATGCCATTTCTATACCTAATACATTTAACATTAATTCAGTCTCATTATCAAATCTATGTACTTCGGTACAAACAGTTAAGACAATAAATCGTAAAGTTCTGTTACAGACTCTCCACACTGGCCCACCCGAGGAGCCTCCTGGTTCTCCCGCAGCCCGCACACATTCCCTTCTCCCTCTAGCACACCGCCCAGCCACCCTCCATCTCCCCAAGGGGCATCACTCCCAGTAGGGATTCAAAAAACCAACCAACCCCCAGGGTCCGAAAGCAAAGCCCCCCAAAGGGTAAGCAGAGGGCTTTGCTGTACAATGATGAAAGCGGCAGAGACTCCCTCCCTACAAGACACGGCCTCATGGGAAAACACTGGACCTCCCTTACCTCAGAATTAAGAATCAGAAGGAACCATTCTCACGGGGACAATGTGAATGCAGTCTTGGACCGAAGTCCCACTTCCTAACGAAGTCTAATTTGACTCAAGTTGACAATGAGGTT